GTAAACGGGTGCAGGTGGTGTGCGCGAGGTTCCGCTGGCCTCGTCTAGGACAGGCTGTTGAAACATTCTGCAAGTAAAGTTAGCGCTGTGCAGCGAGAAATTCTCTCACTCCGAGGCCCGTACTTCTCTGGATAGCCCTACGGCGACGGCACCGTTAGAGGAAGTGGCAATAGATTTCTTGACGCATCTTACGGAGGCGGAAGGAGGTCGCAAACATTTCTAAGCTGTAGTCAACCATCTTAAAGAGTGGGTTGAGATCTACCAGGGAAACATGCCGGAATTTCGTACTTTCACTCATTATTGTTAAATTGGGCGCGGGCAACTTGACCGGTAATATCAATTTTCTCGAATCGCTCAGAGAAGAAGAGATTCGATTTTAAGCAGACACTCCGGCGGGCGAAACCTCACTGGACTGTCTGCTCCTCACTGCGAAAGTAATACCTGTCAATTGCTTTGCTGTTTCCAGCGTGTGTTTTCTGAAATGCTTGCAAAACACTGATTCGTCCAAATGTTTGTGTAATAACTGATATGAAAGCGTAGTACTTTCTAGTTGCGGAAAATATACAAACATGAGACGGCTTGCATATATATATAAATATATATATATTGTGTGTGGGTGTGGGTGTGGGTGTGGGTGTGGGTGTGGGTGTGGGTGTGGGTGTGGGTGTGGGTGTGGGTGTGGGTGTGTGGGTGTGTATGTGTGTGTGGGAGGGGGTGTGTGAGTGTGGGTGTGTGTGGGGGTGTGTGGGGGTGTGTGGGGGTGTGTGGGTGTGGGTGGGTGTGGGTATGGGTGTGGGTGGGTGTGTATCAAGGGAGTTAAGAGCAACGTAAAAAATTACTGGGGCTTTTTGATTTCTCGCCTATGGCGTTTAGCACAGTGGCCGTTTTCGAAGCCCTTAGCTTTGGGAAACGGCATTAGATGGCCCGCGGTGACGCACTGGTTCAAGCTTCAACCAACGCGTTTCTTGGTGATTGGCTTTCGTCGCCTGTTGCGCCAAGTACCAATGTTTGTTTCTACCGACGTCACTCCATTGGTAGAGGTGCATATTTTAAGCCCGGACGTCCGCAATGTGTGGGTTAAAGCAACTCAAAAGTGGTATATTTAGTCCGTTACATCTGATTATAGCTATCAGCAAATTCCGCCGTCATCAGTTGACGTGGACTACGACTGCACTCTGGGGCTACAGAGAAAAGAAAAAGTGAAGTGCGGTGAAGAAAAAAAAACGTTGACGGACGTAATTTGAACTCGAAAATGATTAAATAAAACTCTTCATTATATATTGATGGATGCTGCAGTGACAATACATAGTGCTACTATCAGATATAACTGGTGCTCAGGTTTTACCAAAGTATGTTTTTGAAATATGTCCGCAAGATGTACATTCCTTTAAAACTACAGGTGGCAAGAGGGGTGGCAACCAAGCTTGTTAATGACTTAAAAGTTAAATTTCGATCGCTACCTGCCTCTCCTCTTGCTGGGGCACGGGTCTCAGACGCATCCTACAACAGGCTTCAGCCCGTACATCCTCATGCTGGGTCGTGAGCCGCGTCTGCCGGCAGAAGCGGGTCTGGGAGCTGCTGTTGCTGGCCGTGCGAGTGGCACCTCTGCCGAGCTACGTCGACGAACTGAGCAGCACATCCTGCAAAAAGCGTACGGTTTCGCCCGGGGGGGGGGGGGGGGCTGTGCGAGCCAATGCTGCAGGTCGCCAGCCGTACGACCGGAAGCTGAAGTTGTTCTAATGCTCAGCAGCGGACACGGTTCACTCATTACGAGGGTACCAGCCAAAGGCGAGCACTATAAGTTTCTGTGGCGATGGATGCCGGCCGCGTTCCTCGCAAAAGTTAGTGGCTTGGACTGCCAAGTCAGGTTGTCTGATTCACGTGGCGTGGCGGAAAGTTGATTGTCCGTACCAATCGGCTCAAGCCGCGGACCATTGCAGACAGTGAGGATGAGGAGCCGACCGAGTGGCAGCCGGCCGGGCGGCTAAGATCAGCGTGGGCACGCCTTCCCTGTGACGCGGAAACCGCAGGTGACAGGCGTGACGTACGCGGTCCCTCCCGCTCTGCTGCCCCGTACGCGTCACGGACGAAAGGTCTTGCTCCAGATCCTCCCACTCCGCTACCCCGCACTCGGTACAGACTAAAAGCCTTGCTCCAGATCGCTTTGGTTTCGTGGTTGGCAGCCGGCATGCTTATGCTTTGTCATTGTTGACATGCTCAGTGTTAAGTTTTGCTCCTATTAGTAGATATTCGGTTTTCGTGCTGTTTCGCTTGTGCCCAGCGTAGAATGCAAGCATTTTATCGAAAGTTGTTCTGTCGCGATTTATAACAGTGTTTCGAGTGTGCCGCGGCGGCGCGTTTGTGCAGGCAACGTCACGCTCTGTCCACACAATTTTTATATGAAGGGATACGGATTTCCTCGTATTGCATGCTCCTGTAGCAGTTTAGTGGTTAGTTTTAGGTGGCATTGGGGCGTTGAGGGCGAGGTCAAGGTCACCCGTGACAGTGACGCTCTGACCCTGATACCGGGCAGACGTGCTTGCACCGCTGTGTTGTCTAATATAATGCCCGACATGTGATTGCGTTGTGGATACCGAGTGGTGCGACGAAGACGTCACAAAAACAAAGCCCAGCACTGCTATTTTACGGGTCGTAAAAACAGACAGACGTTGGGTGAGTACAATACAAAGGATGCGATTGATTGCCTCGATAAATACAACACTCCAGATTTTTACAGCAATGCAACGTTTGTAAGCATGATTGTGTGGATGCATTCGTAAAAATCTCTACAGCGTGGTGTTTCCTATTTCCGAGTCAGAACACGTACTAAACATAGTGCTTAACTCGCCACTTGGGTCAAATACAATTTACGTACGAAAGCGCGATTTTTTATAAAGTGCTTCGCTGATGCTAGGGCACTAACAGCTGGTAGAAGACAGTTCCACGTGCGGGTGGTGCGGTGCACAAATGATCGGCGGGCCATTTCAGTTCGGTAATGGCTGTGTGGTTCTGTAAAGTGGATTTATTTTCGTGGCGAGGCTGTGCAACAAAGGATATATACGACGCAGTCACGTGGAGTGCAATATGAGAACATAGGCGAATGCAGCATGAGTAAGTGTTAAGCAAAGCTGAAAAGTATATTTTAAAACAAAAAGACTGTAAAACACCCCGGAGAATTATTCCAGAACCCAACATCAAATTCTGTAACACTTCCAACATTATCCCGGGTCATACTGGTCTACTGCAGTCACAAAACAAAATGGTTTAAGTAACAGTATGATCACATTCCAAGGGATTGCTCCACATTTGAACATTTCTTGGGAAAACACCATATTTGACAGATAAAGTTCACTCGCTCATATTGAAATGCTTCTAAGTACAAAAGACTGTTTTAAATACAAATTTTATCTACTTAGATGTCGCGCGCTGAGCATTCGTTCAGCTGTGGCTGACCTGGCGGACAAGGTTGTGAGAAGAAGCGGAAATTGAACGGCGTCAGGGTTCCCGCGTGTTATGCTCCACATTGCGGAGAACGGACAGGGGAGACACATTTAGGCTTGGACCTGTGCAACTCGCAAAAATGTTTAGGAAAGTGATACTTAAAATGTTATTGTTATCCCTCTTTAAAACTGACCTTCGTAATTTGCTCCTAATGGCCTCTGTAAGCCATCAAATGAGGCTTTCTTTGACTCTCCGCACCCGTGAATCACCATGAGGTCTTTTAGCTCTCTTCCCGTCTAAACATGAGACAGTCTCACCCAAGAGCCCCTCACAAGGGGACCCCATTTTGTCCACTGAATAGTTATTCCCTTTTGGCTCAAAATCCGTGGCGCCAACTATCCACAATATTTTCGTAATTGCCGAGCCGTGAGCCGCACACACAATTTTACCGTTTAGAGCCGAGCAATAAACCAAACATGGCCTCATCTGTGCACCATTATGTGAATGAGTGCAGAAGATGATTTAGCATTCTGTCCTCCGCTGTAAAAGGGCATGACACTTCGTCAGTTCTCTTCGCCCACGAGTTGGGGAGCGCGAAATGGTTAACGCAAGGGCGCATACAGGGGTGAGCACTAGGGTAGTGTCTTTTGCCCACGAGATGGCCACAACGCACACATCTGGTCCACGTTAGCCTTGTTTTAAGAGAAAGGTTTTATACATTTTGGGTTTCCCGGGAGTACATGCTGAACTCGCCCCTGACCGACCTACGCTGTTTCACAGAGCTGTTAGCACGACGCTACGGCACAGACCACGATGGCCAATTTTTATGGAACGATTGAGGCCAGACATCTGTATCCTGGATGGAATGGTTGTTCGAACTGTCGTCCTTGTGTGGTGGGTTTGTTGCGCTGCAATTAACACACCAGATTAACGACTCGGACATCCGATACGATGTCCAAGTTAAGGATTTACAAAATGGGTATCATCCATTATCAATGGCCCGTAAGCGTTAATGTGTCCTCTAATGTATTTTAAGACACTGCTCTGGGAACCTAAAATGTTTTGTCTACTTCATACTTGATTGGGATTTGGAGGCATGCTTTAATATTACACAAAAGCTGGCTGTTGTCCATCACAGCTGAAGGCCGTCTGCTGACACGGCTGCCCGAGCCTTGTGATTAAAGGGTTCTCATGGACATTACGTAAGCTGTTCAGTGCATTAGCTAGGAACATTACATTCTCATCATCCATTCTCCTGGTTTTTCTCCAAGGAATAAGTTTTATGCTACTGGCTTGTCTATGTTGTCTTGAACACTTTGTTCCGTGTCAGTGGCAAGCTTTGCCATCCACCACTGAGACTTTCAAAAGCGCATCATGGCATGATTGTTACCGCAACCTTTCTAATTTGGTTTCATCGGAGCATTTCGCTGGGATGGATTTTTCTGGAATCAGAGCTCACAATACTCGGCACCGTCCACGCCGTCCGACTTCATCTGACCTTGGGAAATGGCAGAGAATCGAGCCGACCGAGCAAACCGTCGTCGCTCTTGCCAACTCACCTGTTCGTGAATGTATTTGGTGGCTCGACGGTGAACTCCAGAGCTCGGGTACAACAGTACGGTCCTCCAATGCATGTTGAGAATTCGGATGGTCCCGAATACACCTTCGGCTGAAAATCATAGTGAGCTATTTGCATCCAGTGACGTCACCTTTACGGCGCTCTTGGCCTAGCTTATGAACCGAATCGAAGGTTTATTGATAGTTACGCGTGTGACTCTAAGGCGCTGAAACACGCCAAATATGTGCCACAACTACCAGGTGACAAAAGCTTTGCGGAACGCTTTAAAATAGATACAGTAGATACGGAATAACTTCTTTCTCTTGCTGGTGTCAGGTGTTAGCCAAATCTTCCTCAGGACTTGGCATGGCATGAACTGATTTATCTATCCGGGGGTCTTTAAACCTACTGCGGCGGCCAAAGATGTAGCGGGCCGAAGCGTTGTGACCAGGACGGTACTTCAAATGCTTTTGTCATCTGTGCAGGCTACCAATGATGCTGTTCACAAACAAAGCTTTTTGTTTTGACCAGCGTGACCTGTAACCTCAAGGGGTCCAGGCAAGGCGTGCTCATATGGGGTGTGTCAAGACCAGTGATTAATGTGTGCTGTATGGTTGCGCACATTAAGTCTTCGAAGGATCATTATATGCCAACTCAACCCATCGATAACACAACGATACCCCCCCCCCTCCCCCGCCGCATGCTTGTCGATAAGGTGTTCACGTGATAAAGACCGAACCATAGTAGCTGTAATTGAGATTAGTGGTTGGTTTACGTAACAAGCCATCAATGTCAGGTTTAAGGAAAAGGGAATATCATGGCTTTTGACATGACAATGACGTGGTTTCGTTTCTCGCTCCGCTGATGAGGTGACGCAGGTACATCTCCCGCAAAGTAACTGTTGGCGGGCAGCCAAGGGGCGTAGCGTATTAACATTTGTTGGAAGATTTTAGATGCAGAAGACAGTTTAGGTGTTCATGTCGTCTCTGCCTCTGCAGTCTCGCATTTGATTGGTCCCCCGTCCGTCGCTGCCCCTGAAGTTCCGCATCTGATTGGTCATCTGTCCGTCGTTGCCCCTGAAGTTCCGCATCTGATTGGTCATCTGTCCGTCGCTGCCCCTGAAGTTCCGCATCTGATTGGTCATCTGTCCGTCGCTGCCCCTAAAGTTCCGCATCTGATTGGTCATCCGTCCGTCGCTGTCCCTGAAGTTTCACATCTGATTGGTGATCCGGTGACCCTAAAATCCCACCTCTGATCCGTCAGCGATTGCTGGAAAATATGTCCTCCGTATTCCGTTATGACGGTCTCTAACTGCTGTTGTGTGCTTTTTCTTCAGTTCTGGCAGCCTCTTGCTAGAGTCTATGTGTTTTGTATTGAGTTAGGCGCATTCAATGACGCAAGCTTCGTCGAAATCTGAAAGGACGTCGCATAAAATCCACAACTTATTTTAAGCATGGCATGATCACTTCGCCACATCGTGGGAAATGGATGAGTTTCATGAACGACGACAATTTATTGCTACGAACAGACAGTTTTATGGCAGAAGATTCTGAAAAGTCTGCTCACACTCAAAGTTTCACCGAATGATTTGTTCTGGAGTTGCTAAAAGTTTGGTCACGAAAATAGCATTCCGCCCAACGAAATGACACCAAATTAGCTCTGTGCCCTAGATGTCATTCTTTACCTTCAGCTGCTATCATTGCCTGCTGTGAGCACTCTACTGTTGACACTTAAGCGCGATGTAAGCAGCTCCCACTCTCACATTTAGCCTGCGATATGGGTTAGCAAATATATAGGCCACAGCCTATGACTAGATTTAGCCCAACGTAAATGCTCAATAGCATTGTCTTACCAGAAAAGAACAGATCGATGCCCGTTCCTTTTCTGGTGCGTAAGACGGCATCATTAATGCCCAGGTCTGACCATCATTATTAAAATAGTCGCCATAAAACTGACAACAGAGCAGCACCATTTGAAGGTACCCTCCCATTTGACGGTACCCATTTGAAATCATGTCACTGAAGAGCGCCGTTTTGATCAACTGGCGTCTATTTTATCGGCATTTTTGCCAAACTAGCTGTACTTCACCAGGCTGGAATCCTCCCAGAGCTTCAAGCCAAACCATATCTGAGTGCACCATATGATTTCACTCCCTGCCCCACCCCTGCCCGCGTATGTAGACCCATCTGTCCATGTCTCCCCACTGTCCAATGTCTGTGTATGCGGCTGTCCGTCCCAGCCCTCTCCTTTCCGTCTATGTTCGAATGCATGTCACAACCTGTCCTTTTCCATTTTCGGTAAATCCGTCCGTTCCTGTCCCTGCAGCTTTACTTCTACACAGATTACCGTCCATCCCTGCCCCTGCAGTCCCACCCCTGGTAGGCCACTCGTCCGTTCCTTCCTGTGCAGTCTCACATCTGATTGGTCACCCGCCCGCCCCTGCCTGAACAATTCCACCCCTGATCAGTCACCGGTCCGTCCCTGCCCCTGCAGCCCACCCCTGGCCCTACCCATGCAGTCCCACCTCTGTTTGGACACTGGCAGAGCGAAAGCCGCGGGCGACGTCCACGTCCGGTCGCCATGATGCCTGGCGGGAAGGTCCGTGCCGGTCGTGCTCGCGGCGTGGACCTCGCGCGGGTCGTCCTCCTCGTCGTCGTGGCCTCCGTCGTCGTCGTCGGCGTCGGTGGCTCCGTCGTCGTGGTCGCTACGGTCGTGTCGGTCGCGTTTCCGTACGAATCTGTGCCGTTGCCGCACGGCTGGCTGCCGTTGCTGAGGCCGTCAGTGGTGTTGCCGCAGGACAGCGAGACGTCAGCCGGCGAGTCGGGCCCGCTCGTGCTCGCCTCGGCCTCCCGGCGGCGCCGCGGCGCCACCGCCACAGAGGTGGGCGGCAGCGGCGTGGTCGGGTCCCCGCCGGTCACGTTAGTGACGGGCTCCGTGACGCCCGTGACGTTGTTGGCGACGTCAGCGGTGCCGCCGTCGGACGCCATGGTCTCGGCGGTGGGGACGGGGGCAGCGGGGGTGGTCGTGGTGGTGGTGGTGGTTGTGGTGGTAACCCGCGGCCCGCTTGCCCCTTCGTGCCGCACTATTTCGTCGATGAGCTGCTGGCGAGCCCAGCGAAGTTCGCGGTCCAGCTCGCAGATGCACCGCTCCTTCGGCAGCATACTCCAGTTGGGCGGCGCCGGGGTGGTGGTGGTGGTGGTCGGTCGTCGTCGTCGTCGTCGTTTTCCTGGGGCGACGGCGGCGGCGTCGGGTAGTGGTGGGCGCCAGGGTGGTGGTGGTGGTGGTAGTCTGCTCCGTTACGATGTCGGTGGTGGTCTCTGCAAGCGGCCGGGTTACAGCGTCAGTGGCGCAGTCGGCCGGGTCGTGTTCCGAGCGGCGCAGGCTGCCGCTCATCGCCGATCACGGACTGAAGCACAGCAATAACAAGCACGCTTCGGGGAAACGCCTTGTGCGCTCGCCTTCTCTGCACAGACGCACAGAGTAGCACCTGGACTGGATTGATTGACGAGCCACCTAAATAACGAGATGGAGCCAGACAACTTGGACCATGTGGAGAAAGAACCCCTGAACAACGCAGCACGGCACATCTGACGTCTAACGCACCATTAGCACACAGGTGCCAATGGTACGCAGCTGAGTGCGATGACATTTGATGTAACTCCGAGATCAAAGTTTCAACTCACACACTAACGAACACCGAGTAACCGCTGGCGTGTGCTGGAGCGCCTGCATGCAAGCTGCGACGTACACCCGCGCGCGCACATGCATGCGGAACAGGACGCCATGACCAGCGGCATCTTAGTGATCTGGAGACACGATTGGGCTGTTAGAGAGGGTCTAGTGGATTGTGGCACTCCAGTTGGAAGCAGCCTAGGATTGGCCAGGTAGCGAGCGCCGGCGTGCCGTGGTGTGAGCTGCATTAAGACACCAGATGCATGCATAAATAGTAGCATCTTTTAAACATGGGTGTGAAATGCACATGAGTGGGCGCTGGTCCAATGTGCATACCTTTACCGCAATTCATTAGTACTAATCAGTCAATTTGCATATAAATACACCGGCAAGGCTCGGTCCCCCTTGTCTGACATTTGCATTAGGGGAGTATCCAGAGGTGTGGTTTCGCAAAATGAGTGGAAGAGGGGAGAGCCGAGCATTGAAAAGTGACGAAGCATGCCTCCAAAACACGCTATCACACGGGTTTCTCGCTGAATTTGGTACCTTTACTTTCAAAGTTAGAGGGGGGGGGGCGGGGGGCATGAAACCAAAGCTGTAGGCGGCGGAAGGGAGCCGGGCTGAAGCACATTAACTGAAAAAAACAAACTACACTCCTGAAAGTTTTTTATGAATTTATTCCGAATGGTTTGCATGGGTGACTTCAGATTTAGAGCACCTGCTAAGCATAACTTGTTGCGCGTACCCCGAACCCACCGCCCAAGCGCACCGTCCAGTTCAACAGATAATTTTTCCTCCGCTCTTTTGCCAGACAGGAATGCGGAGGCTTTTACGTGCCGCACAATGCTGCGGCACGGCCGACCCAGGCCTGGGTTGATCCTCATTGGCCGGTTGCCAGCTAGCCTTCCTATTTCAGTCGGGTCAAACAATGCGTCCGTTCTGGGACTCATACCCAGTGCCGCTGGATTACGAGTCCAGCATCTTTCACCTAGACCACGAAGGCGGAGGAGCTATTATAAAATTTTCGGGTTCGGGTATTTAATGGAGTCACCAAGCTGCTCCAGGCCCATCGCGCACACGCATACACACACGCACAAACAGATATATACATGATAGATAGAAATATATATATATATATATTATATATATATAATATATACATACATGCATGCATACAGACATACATGAAACATTCTCGGATAGCGAGGACAGCAGTCACTATCGTTTATGTAATTGTCAACTTTTCGATCAATTCCGAATCATCTTCAGGACAAGTGTACAAAGGTGCAATAGAATATAAGTACATTTAATGGACATCGCCAGACATGACAACGATCATAGTTAACACAATTACACATGACCTCTCTACCCGCAAACAGGACAGCTTGAAAAATACAGCCGGCTATTTCAACATCCAAGGTGAAGATTCGAGGAGGTCTGACTTAACAGGTAGTATTATTTCTTACCCAGACCTTTGTTCGTCCAATACCCTTCATATGTGCGTGACACTCACTTTAACATTGAAAAACTTATTTTTTTGTATTAGGGTCTTGTAGCACTTCTTTCGATCGTAGTATTCTAGAATCACATGGTATTCACCAAAAAGCTGCCATTGAATATCATGGGTCTGCGTAACCTCTGCAAAATATCAGGTTGTTTCATACGGAGGCTAAAAGAACTTTTGTCACGCGATTTTTGTATCTTTCAGGCTGTCCTGTTCGCGCACGGAGAGGTCGTGTTTAACGGTATTACTGTGACGGTTGCCATGTCTACCGATGTCCGTTAAATGTGTCGATATTTCATTGTACCTTTGAGCCCTTGCCCTGATGACACACAACGTATCGAAACGTCCACAAGTACATAAATGATAGCGACTGCTGTCTTTGCTACGAAGATTTTACTGCATGCTATATATACATATATATTTATATATACAGGCTGCATATATGCAGAGAGAGAGAGAGAGAGAGAGAGAGAGAGAGAGAGAGAGAGAGAGAGAGAGAGAGAGAGAGAGAGAGAGAGGGAGAGAGAGAGAGAGAGAGAGAGAGAGAGGGAGAGAGAGAGAGAGAGAGAGAGAGAGAGAGAGAGAGGAGAGAGAGAGAGAGAGAGAGAGAGAGAGAGAGAGAGAGAGAGAGAGAGAGAGAGAGAGAGAGAGAGAGAGAGAGAGAGAGAGAGAGAGAGGAGAGAGAGAGAGAGAGAGAGAGAGAGAGAGAGAGAGAGAGAGAGAGAGAGAGAGAGAGGGATATAAATAAATATATATATATATATATATATATATATATATATATATATATACATTAGCCCGCGACCCCATCAACTGTTTGAAACAAAAATAATTTACGATTTGTGCTCAAAAGTTGGAAACATGGAAATGCATTTAAATCCAAGGTTAGATTTGTAAGTGGCCCTGAGGTATGAACAACTAATGGCGGAACTATTTGGCCGAAGTTTTTTTTGTACTACACTGGTGGAACCATGACCAAAAGCCACATTTCAAACAACTGTGAATGAATGTGAAAATCGAGCACGTCTTTGTAATGGCCTTCGTGCTGCGCAGGCCGCTGGCTGAGCCATGGGTGCCCCACAGCCACATTGCAAGCGACGAGGACGCTCGATAGTTTTTATGCGTAGCGCCATAGGCACGGATCCAGAATTTCGTCAAGGGAGGGACACGCTTTGCTGTGATGTCCCCTAAAGCTTGGTGTTTCCTCCCTCACAAAACTTCACCATACTTCAGCCACTTCATTCTCAGATGCTCATTTTTCCATAGCGCTTTCAGTTGGCCTGGGCGCAGAGGCTCGGGTCAGCTATATCTGTCTCGATGAGGAGAGCATAACGCGTTGCTTACCTGCTGCTATCGGACCCTTAGGTGTTACTTCTTGCCTTCCACTGGCATTTTGTAGATGTATCTTCTCTGGTATCGTATCATTTATGCGTATCGTGTTTGCTATACCGTTCATACGTAATGACATCCGGTTCCACGGATTGAGCAAGTGTTCGGACTACCTTCCTCGTCCGGTGTTATAGTATTTACACAACGTTTCTGCCAGTGTCCTGTCCGGGCATCATCAGGTGTGCTGAGCCTCGACAAGGACTGGTTCATGTTTGTCTTGCAGCCATGCACGCGTCACAACCGGAATTCTCCCATAGGAAATAGCTGGGATTTGAACCCGATTCAGTTGCAAATATATTGCCCTACCAGCCTGGGCTAGTCAGTAAAGATAATTTTTCGATGATAGAACTTGATACCACTCATCTTCTGGATATTGTGGGGACTTTTCCACCAAATCGCTGTTATTCATCTTCTGGATATTTGGGGATTTTCCGCAGAATAGAGAGCCATATTGGACCGATATATCTACCTAGAATTACTGATGGGGCTATTAGCCAATGTCATATATGCTGCCTTCTCGGTCGTTCTAACTTGCCAGCGGTGTTCTCTGTAGATAATGGTCATATCATGCCACGTCGGCCGATGGTGACCATTTGGCCGTGCATGCTTTGGCGCAGCAGACCGATTTTTACGTTCACTGTTCACCACTCACCTCCAAGTTGTTCGCGTTGTCTAATCAGGCGATTTTATGTCAAAATGTCGGTCTCTGCATTGCGTGTTTGGAAAAAACCGCCTATCGTTCAACATTCTCACTCTGGACGGAACCGCAGGGGTAGGTAGTATCCAGGCCTCAGTCATTCTCGAGCATAATGCGTGTGCGTGCGTGCTTGCGTGCGTGCGTGCTTGCGTGCGTGCGTGCGTGCGCGCTTGCATGCGTGCGTGCGAGCGTGCGTGCGCCCGCGCGTATGTGTGTGTGTGTGTTTGTTTGTGTTTGTGTTCGTGTTTGTGTTTGTGTGGTGCTTTTCGATCATATGGTTGAAAGTTGGTAGATAATATAAGCCGTTTGATTCCAAATGGGGCAAATTTTCCATTAAACTCTTATCTGCTATGGTGACATTACCTATGTGCGCATCTCATCTATGTGGGATCTGGATCTTGAAGCTCGGTGGCTCCAGCCCTTCTTCCCCGGAGTCTCCACGCCGCGTCAACAAGTTTCGTGGTTGCGGTAGTTTGATGGTTGGGCCGCTCGACTCTGGACCCACCGGTCCTGGGTTTGGGTCCTCGTGACGCCACTGCCGCCCGCATCCCACAGGAAGCTTAATGCAGGCATCCCGTGTGGAAGCGGCCCTATCAGTCTGTAAGGCGCCAAGCCCCAATCACCTGCAGCCAAACATTACCCCCGTTGACAGGAGGTTCATGCTAGGCTTCAACGGCGAGTTAGAGTATCGCTTGTGCAAAAAGTAACCCTTGTGTTACTTGTGTCGGCAGCAAGTACGTGGGGCTTTGTTTCAACGTCAAATCCGCGCATGACCGGAGTGAACAGTGAGCTCGAACATTAACAACCACCTGCATCCACAATGACGCCGCATTTGCCTGTGTCAACAGCTGGCCAAATAATCGCCCGCGTCAGCAGTTTGTGTATCGCCCGTGTTAACAGCGAGTCTACACATGGTCCGCTGCCTCCTCCGTCCGGCCCGCGCCCAGCCAGCCCCAACGCGTGCAGGCCCGTTGCAGCGAGCCAGTCCGGAGCGCTGGACGCCACCATCCGTCTCGCTGTCGCGCCAGCTGCGCGGCAGGCTGCCATCCGTCTCCGTGTCGTGCCGGTTAAACGAACGGCCTCCAATGTCGACGTGTGAGTGCTGGGCTGGCAAATGACCGGCTGCACCGCCGGTGTCGGCGGGAGCCTCACACCCTCCGAGGGGGAGGGGGTGGGGAAGGTCGCGGTTGGACGGCCAGTCACCGGCACAGCACCGGCCGCGACCTCACCCCGTCCGACCGCGCAGCGCCATCTCTGAGCGGTACGACCAGGAGTTTAACTTTTTCTAAGATACTGGCCCGTCCGAACGCGGTCGACAGACGTAGAGGACTGGCGCACTATGCCCCCCTCCCCCTCCCCCACACTCCCCCCCCCCCACTCCCATGCCCCACCCCCACCCGAACATTACCATGAGTGTGGGGAAACGGAATCCTCTCAACCTGAAACCACGGGAGCAGCAACTTAAGGTTTTTTTAAAAGATTGGGTTCTCGTGACGTGATCTACATTTTTTCGTCTGGCAGGCCTTATTGTTTCGCGGGGCAAAGCGCCCCGGGGGGGGGGGGGGCTTTGCCCCGTGAAAGGCAGGATGCACACTGCCCGGTGAACATCGATCGACCATATGGATTACTAAGGTTGAGGCCAATTCAATCCACCCTGTTCATCAATGCACAAGGCTCCTGAACATCTTTGCACAAAATAAAAAAAATCCGGTGACGCCCTGTCTGGTATCAGTTTAGCGAATGACTGAATGAACAATGTAAAACAAATCGCACCGGCAGCTAGTTTAATAGCGTCATTTGATAACTGGTTTGTTCATTTCATTCACTTTCACGGTATCTTTTGGAAGTTCTCTATTGTTCGTCTCAATCAAAGACGGCAAAAAGGAAAATGTCCCCTCAAAATAAAGCGAACCATATCCAGTGGGCAGGTATCTCGAGATGGGGGGACTTATGTATTTTTTATCTTTTGCGAAGTTCGGTCGTTTTGAAGTCATCACACCAAACAACGTTGACTAAGCACGTTGGGCCGCAATGAAACGCTTTAAGTAAGGGAACTTGACTGTTAACCATGTATTTGTCTAGCACCATGTTCACCTCCACGATTCCACAATGCGAAATCTACAATGAGAGATATGGAATCCAAACGTATTCGCAAGGCGGGACAATGCCAAGCTGACGCCCACATCTCTGTGGCTCCAAAAAATGAGAGCCTGTGATGGGAGCCAGAAAGATATGCGATGCCACGGCTGGATTTTGTTGCATGTATATGTTGATGCCACACTAAGTATGACCTTTCAGTAGATGATAGATAAGAAGTGCGACCATGCGCAATTCTTTTCTTATATCGCTTTGTGCAGTATTAGGGGTGAGCGCACCAACGTCCCTTTGATGGGGAGGGGGAGGGGCGGAAAATCAGGATTGGAGAGGTCAACTGGAATTTGGAGGGTTACAGCCCTGACAGAAGGTAGTAATTTCAGCGGGAAAGCTATGAAATACGTGCATTTTCCAAGCAAGCAAAATGCCATTTCGTGAAATTGGGGAACAGCCCTCCAGTGGTTACACTCCTAATGTTCCACGGTGTGCTTAGGGTAGAGAAGGGCAACGCACCTACTCGAGGTAACGCGCTCCCTACCCGTATCTAAACTATTTATAGCTCTCGATGTAAACTGAGATTGCCAAAACATTTGAACTTGCGGTGCAACATTGTGTCTTTTTGTGGACACCTGGTGTGGATGGTAGATGATGTGTAGAACAAGAAAGTTTTTAGCGCTAAATGGAGTTTTGCAGTAAACCTGATGAGTCCTCTTGCACTCTACCTTCACGTTTTAGTGTCCAAATATGTTCGCTAGCAAACAACACAGGAGTTTGCTGGCTTTGGATTGGAAAGAAAATGTAACAAATCTGGCCAATGTTTGCTCAAATGATAATCATTTGCATTGAGGTACAGGTGGGGTAATGCGCCTCGCCAGCATCTCCAATTTTTCGACACCCCTACCAATTCAATATCATCCGCAAATTTTAGCACTTTGCTCCCTAATCCTATCTTCATATTTTTCACAACAGTGACAAAGAGCAACGGTCCAACACCGACCCCTGAGGAACCCTACTCTCTACTAGCTCCCACCGAGGTTTTGAACCATTGATCATTACTCTCTGCTTCCTGTCCAGCAGCCAAGCCCGCACCCAACCAAGAATTTTCCCTCAATGCCATGCAGTTTTAACTAATGTAGCAAACGTTGGTGTATCACCTTATCAAACACCTTACTAAAATCTAGATAGACAACATCTTAGCTACTTCCTTTATCTGTCTGACTAAAAACATGTTTCATGAAGTCTGGAAGATTTGTCAAACATGATCTACCAGAAAGAAAACCCCGGTAACTACTATTTAGCAAATGATGCCTATGTTAGTGTGACTAAATGCTAGCCTTAATGAATTTCTCTAAGATTTTGAATATTGACGAGGTCAAACTGACAGGCCTGTACATGCTCACAATTTTGTGGTCCCCTTCTTGAAAATCAGTATTACATTGGCATTGCACCAGTCCTCGGGTACTTGTGAGAAACTTAATAATCTATTTGAAAATAACATAAGATAATACTAACATGAGAGAATACTAGCATAACACGAGGGCTCGCAGGGTGTAAAGCCTGCTCAGAGCTAACTGCTCAGCATTGGTGGTCTCGGACCTACATAGACGCCCTCGTCGTCCCGGGGACCCCCGACAGGAGCAGCGAGTCCTCTCTGGCAGACCTTTGAGGGCCAGGCCTTCGCCCCGGGGCCTTCCCCGGCCAGCCCTCTGCCCCCCCCCCCCAACTGGACCGTTGATAAGCTGTGCCGAGGGTCCCGAAAGCCACTCAGGGCCTACCCGGAGGACGTGTCCTCCATGCGCCCCCCCCCCCCCTCAACCAGCCGGCTACGCCCCCGGATGTTTAAGTATGCACGAAATGCAATGCTTGCCAGCACCTCGCTCTTAGAATACAACCCCAATGTGAATAATGACATCAGCGACCCAAAACATTCGCAAGTTGTTGCCAGTTTGGTTTAAACTATGTTCGTTTTTGCTGGTGACTAAATATCCTAGATTCTGATACAAATTATCCATTTTCTACTATATCTTAGTGATGTGTTCCACGTACTCGGTGAAACCTCAGCAAGTTGGCAAGTAATGTTATTTTTCGACGTTTCCTTCGTGTATTTGGTAACTGAAGCAGACATCACAGTTAACGACTTCGTTAAACCGGTGATGAAAACGGTCGTATTGGCGGCAATAAGTCGATCGACACTGGAATGTTCATACTGGTTGTGATACATCCAGTTTGGTAGAAGTGTCCATTTGGTATACTTTAACGCATGTTTGGTGACTGGCTAATGGGAAGCCCTTCAAATGTGCTAGCTGCTAAGAAGCATGACGGGTGGGCGAGGCCGGGATAGGCCGCTCAAGTAGAAAATCCCATTTAAATGCGCGGAAGACTCACTTAGTGTGTCCTTCCTCGTAATGGCAAAGGCGTCAGCTAAAAAGGACGGCACAGAAGCACACGCAAATATCGGTGGCTTCACTACACGTAACGTGTTTGAAAAGACCAAGTCACGTTTATTTTGTTTTGCCACGAAGGGTTCCTGGAGCATCAGACGCCGACAGACACTGGATGTGGGAACCAACGGTGCGTAGGTGCGTGCGTATATTCCTGTTTGCGTGCGTGTGTGCGTGTGTGTGTGAAAACGCTTTTTGCCCATGGCGTTGTCTAGCTGTAAATAACGACAGCAAAACGCTGCACACTTCTCGGCGAAATCAGGGCGACAGGATGGCTTCGGAGAAATGAGGGAATTAGTTCATAACGGCAAATGTCTCGATCTGGTTCTATAGCTTGACCATCAAGCCTCCTTATTCAATAACGCGAGCATGCGTCAGGAGCCGCGGCACTTACCATTGCTTGCCGCGGCGGTGGGCTCGGTGCCATTCAGCGCGAAGGTCGTGTTCGTGCCGTTTCCCGAGAGGAGATTAGCCTCCAGGGAGCGCTCTGGCGAGGAACGCCCGGCCGGGACCAGGCGGCGCAGCAGTCGGACCTCGGCCGCTGTCACTGGGGACACGGCAGGAAAGCCGGGCGCGGCAGCGACAGAATCAGAATGAAATTACGGATGGCGGGCGTGTAGGCGACAGGGCGATTCGGCTGCTGACGGCGATGGATACGATGAACATGGCTTTATTATTCGGCAGAGCGGCGGCGCTCAGCGGCGCAGCAGGTACCGCTCCCGACCTCAGGCCAAATGCTGCTTACGCGTGCGCCACACTTCTCAAAAACTAGTTAGCCGCCGCGTGGGTGCAGCCATGGAAGTCAGGTCAAATGACGCCATGCAATGAAGGGGGTTGATGGTAAAAACTTCTCCTCGGAAGCGCCACTCTAACTGAGGTTTATCACATCTACGGTTGACGCTGCCGGCGTCGGTTCCGGGCCGCTCTGGGCCCGTCCCGGCCGGCCACGTGCGCCGCCTCCGAGCACGCGACCACATGACCAGACATGGAGCCAGGTTCGAGACGGGGGCGTTGGGTGGCGGATGGCAACAGGCCGCGCTGCGTTGTCCGCAGCACGGCCGCAGTCTGCTTTTGAGTTCACTGAATACATGCCCGCCAGGTGCTCGAACTCAATGGTGTAGCTGCCACACGCACTCCATCAGAAGGAGTATTCCGGGACGCGACAATAGACGTGTTGTGCACGTCGTGTGCTCTGTAGTCGGGCGCTTACAAGGCGCGACGCTACCCGCGACTGGCCGCTGCCGAGATGTCGGCGCCGGTCGGTGTGCGCTGGCAAGCGCGCTCCACGCGGTGAAGTAGTGAAGACCACGCCAACTGCACAGTTCATTTCTGAGCTATACTTTTTAGACAAGCCCCTCATTCAGGTTATGCTGCACTTTCGACTATGGGACAGTGGCCCTCCGTACACAGCTGGTTGCTGGTGTGGTTCTTGGTGTGTCAGAGGAACGCCACGCAGGATTAAGCGTTTCGCGCCGCACCCTTCTTAATCACGCGAGCTTTTTAACTGGTCTTGCATGTCGCCACGTCTGACGGACGCGCCTTCTTGATGCCCGGGCGGAGAGAGCAGTCCTTTCTGAACGCAGGACGGGGCGGGAGGGCGGGGTGCTCGATTTTCTTATAAATTTACTCCGAATGGTTTGTATGGGTGACTTCGGATTCAGAGTATCTGCTAAGCATAGCTTGTTGCGTGTGCCCCGAACCCACCACCCAAGCATGCCGTCCAGTTCAGCAGCTAATTTTGCCTCCGCCCTTTCGCCAGACAGGAATGCGGAGGGTTTTACGTGCCGCACAATGCTGCGACACGGCCGCCTCGGATCTGGGTTGAACCTCGTTGGCCAGTTACCAGCTGGCCTTTTCATTTCATTCGGGTCAAACAATGCGCCTACTCTGGGACTCGTACCCAGTGCCGCTGGATTACGAGTCCAGCATCTTTCCTCAAGACCACGGAGGCGGTTTAAGGTGAGCTTTATCATATTTTGTATATACATACATATATATATATATATATATATATATATATATATATATATGAATTGCGTACGCGCAGTAGTGCCTTCATTCTATTCATATGGCTTCGCAACACTGCTTTTTCGTCAGGACAGCGCGAGATAAACTTTGACTGTCACTCATAGGACGGACACTGGGCCGCAAAGCAGATATTCCAAGGTCGTGAGTACTCAGAACACACAGCGTCCTTAAGAAGAGCATGATGGAGGTGGCGTGATAAGGCTACTAGTCGCTCAGTAACGCAAACGTGCCTCTATGCTGTTTTTAGCGCCGGTGTTTGGAGGGTGAGGACGACATTAGCTTAACTTTTAGTTAAAAACTACCACGGTTTAGTAAACTTTCCAACAATACAAGTTTGTTTTAATTGAGCTCGACCATATCTACCTACCTCAAAGAAGCTCTTGTGGTCGTCGGAGGGGCTGCCCTCCGAGCGAGCGTTGCAGGCCGGATGGGAGGGGTTACGGACCGGATAGGAGGGGGAGTGCAATCGGGCGCCTTACGGCCGGTCGGAGGTTATCGTGGTCTCTGTAGCGGTGAGGGAAGAGGCGGGGACGGCCCATGAAGCTTAATACTTTTAAAGGTCATGCGACGCACGTCGTCACAGCCTTTTGTGGAGCGCTAGTGGCAGCAGAGCTCATATTAACGCTCAGGGGCCATGAGGCAACCAGGGTTCGATCCCGGGCCACCTACGTACGCCACCCACCACTCGGCTAAAACGCTTCCTTGCTATTAAGGGTGTAGCCCTGCCCAAGGTCCCCTGGCGACCCTACTTTTCCTGCTGTGGGTTTCCAGGACGACTTCTGTATATCCTCCTTTTGTCCCCTCTTGTTCTCCACAGTGCAGCCTATTCAAATTCCAGCTTTACTAAGAGGCTTTCCATCCCATACAGCTGAATGAAAGGAATCAATGACTCAGCTTCCCCTTTATAAGATCGCTGAAATCCCCAAAGATACCTTAAAGGGCAGTTAAGTGGCAGAGTGCTGCTATGAGGAAAGCGTTGATGAGAGTTAGGTACGTGGGCCTAAAACGAGCCACTGCTCAGTGGACCACTCCAATCCGAACAGTGAGGGATCATATCAAGAAGGGAAGCGGCCTCGAACAGGACGTCCGCCCGCGTTTACAGGGAAAGAAGAGGCAGACCCAGCAAAGCAACTGACAAGGCAGGCAGCCGTTAGGTTCGAATTGACAAGGATGTCAAAACTCCGTGGATCTGTTCTGTGAAAAACCAACGACGCTCACCGTCCCAGTGGCGAGAGAACGGCTGTCGAACTGAAGGGATCCTGGGCCCAAAGTCCAGACATACCTCAGCATTAGGCAAATCGGACAACTAAATTACGCTGGAGGTCTCCGGATGTATCAGGCTAGTATATAAAAATATTCAAGTCATGCATGGCGAAACTCATCCCCTTCCGGCGCCTCGAGGCGGTGTTTAACGCTGACGAGACAGTTCAACTAACTCATGGCAAGGCGCCTTAAGTGCTGACGGCAAAGCGTGCTTACCGTGCGCATCAACATGTGTCAGCCGAAAAAAGTGAAGACCGTTTCAATCATGTGCGCGGGGCACTCAATGGAAGGGTACGTACCACGTACGTACGTGCCGGTATTTGTCCACAAGACAGGAGGATGCAGCCCCACAACAGCCAGCGTTTGCCACCCGGAGACAGCTCCACTGCCTCTGGAAGCGGATGCTTCCCAAAGCTGTCAATCGGAAGTGGATAGACCATTTCCATTTCCCGTGTTTTCACTGCCTCCACGGGTATCGGCCGCCAGGCTAGCGTTCCTGGTGGCTTATGACCATCCCATCCACGTGTGCAAAGAAGTGGCCGACAAGGTGTGTGAGCCGTACTCCTTTGTCTACCCGCCGGTCCTACCCAAGACATGCCAGTGACAGACAAGGCTATTTTGGAGCGGCCAAGAAACACTTCGATAGTGAAGTACAGGAGTTCAACAGGAATCCCCCAGAACGGGCACAGTTCAAGGCTCATTCTCACTGGATTGTGACCTCCAACATGGACCCCATCGGTGAGACGACGTCTGCTGCTGCAGAGACCGGTGCAGTCGGAGAACTCCAAGCCAAGCTGGAGGAGCCTATCCGGTGCTGACTCAGCATCAACAGGAAAACGGCTCGGAACTGAAGGTTTAAGACGAAGCTGGGCACATGCCGGACAAGCTGCATCCCTGCAGAGGGCTGATTCGGTGATGGTTGTTGTTCATCAGACGGCAGAGACGAAGGACGGGAGACTCCTGGCGTGTCTCACCAGTGGAACAGAATGAGGGTTCAGCTGAGTATTCAGAATCCTTCCATTCTGTTACGGAGATGCCCAACTCCAAACGGCGCGGAAACACTCGGTGATCACTTCAATCAAAGTGCGCCACCTTCGTGAGAAAGAAGCACCTGAGAGCTCCGGCCAGAAGAAAGCACGCAAAAGTAAAAATGAGGGAGGAAAATGGACTAACCACGCTGGTGGAAGGGCTCAAATGCCTCGAGTTCACGAAAGCGCCATCCGCAGGAGTGATGTGTTTGGTATGCGCCGTACGGTACGACCGATCTTGAGAAATTGGCGATATGCTACGAGATTGCAACTGGGTCTGCGTGTCTTGCACAGATTCATTCAAGGTTAGAGGACCTACGCGCGCGATTTGTGCCGCTGGGAAGGGGACGGAAGCGGTGCCAAACATGCGAAACCTGAAGCATCGACGATAGCCGGTTTTTGAAAGCAGTGTTTGAAGGAAACGGTTATTAGTGTCGGAGTTCAAACGACGTGTCCAGAAGTTCACGTGACCTCTCTTGCTTTAAGAGTGTACGATTATGACGGCCGGTAGCAGACACACCGGTGTCCCGTGTCCTACAGCTGATTGACCAGCATTCTTTGACCCGTCGGTGTGGCGAAACATTAGCACCACCTTACGTGGTTCACCTGATGACTAACACTCGCGTCATTCACCCCACGCCCACACGTCAACCGTGACATGCCTTGACAAATACCGACCCATTTAGTCCAACCGCCGTGATGAGACGTGAGCAGTGTCCGCGTTCTGCAGCCCGCCAGCCGTTGTTATGAGCAGCGAGCAATGCTGCTCAACGGCTGCATCATGGCGCATCAGTTATGACTGCGTTTCACATATTGAGACGGATCCCATGCGAGTGGCGATTGCAAGTCCAATGGTGCGGTACAACATCGACAATAGGTTACCACTCAGCGCATAACTTGAGTGGGATCCAATGGGGCGCTACCAGGACCTAGCCACGGGAGCATTCAGCTCACCGATAACCCTTCCTTTCTCGGTTTCCGGTGGGAAAGTGGCACACGGAGACGCCGTCACACACCGCGACCTCAGCCGACGGACAATGGATGGCTCACGGAGACACGCAGCGCCCTCCACGGACAGCCAGATGGGAGCACACGGGCCGAGCGATGACCGGTGGCGAGCTCATAGCTCGCGGAAACAGAGACCCAGAGGCGGCCAGCGGGTAGCTCACAGGAGCGCCCACCACGTGCTGCTCAGATGGCTTACCGTAAGCGGTAGCAACAACGGCGACGAGCACGGTCAGCCTCATGGCGTCGGGGCCGGGAGGCGGCGGCTGCCGGCTGCTCCGGTGGCGCGAGTCCGGGCGCGGCTCCCCGGCGCAGTGACCGGTCACGGCGACCACCAGCCCCGCGCCGCCTCCCACACCAATCAATGGCACTTCCCATCTCTACGGAGACAGATCAACAGTGGGGTCGCATCCACGGCCGCCGTCGCCCCGCTGTGAATAATGTAGCCGGCTGATCGCCGAGGGACCTCACCGGGACAGTCAACGGCCACGCCATCAAGAGGCGCCGTGATCGACCTGATGACGGATCAGGTCATCACTCAGGACCTGACCAGCCGATGCTGCAAACGCTGAGATGACGGCTCCTTTGCACGTTAGGCGGTGGAATGCTCCACGTGTCTCCCTGGAAATAACCAGGCGCCGAGGCGGAGGCTGATTGGAAGCACATTGCCGTTCAGGAATGACTCGTGCATAGAGGGGTTTGGGGGCTCACATGCGACGGACCCGCGAGGTTCGCACGCGACATGCGTACGCCCGCTATACGGGTCAGTGCCGAGCGTCCCAATGGCTTGATATCACGAGTGTCGGATAAATCTGCATTTCATTCTGACAGTGCGCACGCTCGACGGAAAGCGTGCCTTTGAACTTGCTTTGGACGCAATATGAGCACGTACACAGACAACATTCTTTTGAATTCAAGGGTGTCTCAAGATTCTCTTCAAATCTAATTGAAAGTGCTATCGCTGCAGCACGAGATATAGATCCACCTTCATCTGCTCGCACAACTGGTCCGAGTGGGCGGCGTGGCTCGCGCACACATGTTATCATATCACATATACGCCTCCTCCTGGAGGACACTGGTCTCCGCTGCAATCACCAGCCCTGACGGCGTCGCCGCCTCGCCGCCTCGATGATCGGGCGCGGACAACGTAATGGAAATCAAAATACGACAGACGGATATACGTGATAAATAACTCCAGGTCGAAGACTAGTTCCCCGAGAACAGCCCGAGCACAGTGACGTCCGGCACTGAGTTACCGGTCACGCGGAGCAAAGCTATGGTGTAAAGTCCATCTGCTCCTGCAGCGGCCAGCTTCGGCGGCTCGTTAGCCGCGCAGGTACGGTAACGACCGCCGCTGGCCGCCCGTTCACCGGCCGCGCCGTGGCGTCACCTGCCCCCGCAGTCAAAGCGTCGCCCGCTAATTGGCCTGCCGCCCCGGCGCCCGTGCGCTTTGTTCGCCGGCAGCGATCGCTGGGGCATCGGGCGATCACGGAGGCGGATCAGCCCCGGACGACGGGCGTTCGTTATTTCATCCGGCGCCGCGGCCGGGAGCGGCGCGGTCGGACAGCACCGGCTTCCGCGACGGCCGCTGCTGAGCGTGGGACGAGCGCGCCCCGCCGCAGCGGCGCGGGCTCCATCCCTTCAAGGTTTGCTCGTATGTTCCCTCGAGTCTTCGTGAATGGATGCAGCAGGCCATTAACCATAACGAGGATAAATTCAGCGCGGAGACGGTTTCGAGCGTATTGAAGGATGTTTCGTTCCGAGCCATCTCCCCGATATCTGACAAACATTCTGGCCGGCTATGCAGTTAGCTACCGATGAACCGCCGCCCGGCGCACTCGTCAGTGGCCCCCGCAGAGATCTCGGCCGGGTGGAGGGGCGCCGCCCGGGCCGCACCGCCCACCTCACCGCAGCCAGCCGTGTCGGCCGTCACGCCACGCTCGTCATCAGGCCTCCAATATATGCAGCCTCCATCGATAGCCACGACACCACGTCAGCGATTACGGCCGGTAGGTACACAGTCGCGGTGGGCCAACACAAACAGGTCCGCACCGGGCTGGCCGGCGGCGGCGGCGGCGCCACGTGCCACTGCCGCGCGGCCTGCTCGGACGCGACGCACGGCCGACGTGGCCGGGGGTGAGGCGCCAGCCGCCGCCGAATGACTGGGCGGCGCTCGGTGCAGACGTACGCACAGACACACGGACGAGCGAGTCATGCCGCCCCGCGGACACGATCAAAACAAATCAGCCGGAGCGTATGTGATATACAGCCACGCATACTCTGCCAGACTACGCCCACCACACCCACCACAGAGCACAGGACCCTCATCGAGCACACCATTGCAGCGACCACTCCTTGACACGTAACGAACGTTCCGATCACAGTCGCGCCGGCGTTCGGCTCCGGTCAAATTTTCCTGGCCTTCACCTTAACGGTAACGGGCCGCACCATCACGCCGCCGCCGCCGGCGTCACCGGAGCCGGACGCGCCGGCCGACTCGCGGCGACCGGGCGCCAGGTAGCGGCCACGCAGCCGGCGCAGCGTCTCCAGACAGCGCCGGTGGTTCAGCGCCAGCAGCAGCACCAGCAGCGTGAGCGGCAGCCCCAGCACGGGCCCGGCACCGAGCTCGGCGTCGGCCGGCCGCCGCTCGGCCGCGAACGGCAGCAGCAGGTGGTGCGCCGCCGCGTCCGCCGCAAACGCCGCCTCGGACGGCCGCACGATGTGTGTGCTGGCGCTGAGGGAGCACTCCAGCCGCGCCACGTACTGGCGGCCGTCGCGCGGCAGCGGCGTCGGCAGCACGATGAAGGGGGCGCGGCCCAGCGGCTGCGAGAGCAGCGGCGCCGCCTCGCCGCCGTCGGCGGCCACCACCAGCCGCAACGAGGCCAGGTGCTCGGCCGCCGCCTGCACGTGCACCGTCACGTCCGTCTCGCCCAGCCGGCGCACGGCCAGCAGGCGCACGTCCGCCACGTCGCCGTCCGTGACCTGCGGGCGGCGACCGGTCAGAGGAGCGACGCACGGGCCGGCAGCGCGGACACCGACGCCGCGCGGCCGCGCCAGCAGGGTCGGTTTTCGGCTGGCTCTGCATCGAAACGTCACCGGCGTGGTCACGTCCAACACCATGTGGCCACGCGATGGGCGCAATTATCTGATGGTGGCACCAGCCCGACAGACAACGGGGCCCCGCGCCTCCCACCCAGCACCAGACCAAAGCCGCGACACGGAAACCGCCGCCGATCTCATTCCCAGCGGTGCGGTACAGCGCTGTCAGCCTGACCCCATCCCAGCTGACGCGGCGGCGGTGCTGTCGGCCTGTCGCCACCGCCACCACTGCCACCGCCGCCGCCGCCGCCGCATCACTCGTCGCTCCCGGCCAGCCCCGCTCCCGTCCGGGCGGCTCCGACCGAGGCGCGCTCAATATTTCAGACCGGCCGGCCCGCACGCGGCGCCGCTGAGCCGCGCGGCCGCCCACGCGGGCCGCGCTCGCCCACCTTGACGGTCTGCCAGTGCGGGATGCCGCGGGAGAACGCCGCGTTCGCCTCCGAGTCTGGCTTCAGCCGCACCGTGTACTCGCACTGAAACATAGCGAGTTCGGCGTTAGCATGGCCGACGGCCTGGCGCGGCTGCCGGCGCCTCGCACACACATGGAAGCGCGACAGCTGTTCGCCCCATGCATCACCAAACAGCGCGGTCCTTTTTCAGCACACGATCAGAAGTCCGAGAGGTGTATGCAAATTCATCTCGTTATCGTCATATGAAGATGACGGCCGTGTTAATAAGCGGAAATGATTCACAAAGTGGGAAAATAACTTGGACGCAAGACGTTTGCGTGCTAGTTATTAGTGTTGAAGGGAGTGCCGATTGTTCAGGTCATTTTGCGTCCCCGAAGTAAAACGTTGCTATGAGACCTTGAAACCACAAATTGTCCGGTGCGCTGTATCAGTTCGGCATCAGCATGTTGAGCTCTCGGGACCCGAATGCATTCTTGGCCGAGATGGGACAAGCCGCTTTGATGGTGGATGTGAAGACGCATTACAGCAAAACGCACTGCGTGTTGCAAATATTCCCAAAAACTCCTTATTATGACCGTTCATACTAAAATAGAAACAAGCTGGATATGGTAACTTCAATCACAACAAAAATAAAAGTTCCCTCGTGCTCCAGGGTGCCGTATACCTCGACTATTCCGATTGCAGAAGCTTTCAAACTTGTAAATGGTTACTTCCGGACGACGGGAATAAAACGCCATCAGCGACGTTCTGCTTAAGTGTCGCTTTCAGTGAAGACGTCCTTGCACCGAGGCCGCGCCCCTCAACTTTGACGACATTCGAGCCCGGGTGACTCGCTCGTGACCTTGTCACTAGGCATGAGAATCACCACCGCACCACCAGACACTGTGGTGCGACACTGTGGTCAGCTCACGACCCCTCCGATACGCCCCGAGTATGGAAAGAGAAGTAATTGCCTGATCGTGACCGCATTTGATGATTTGCCGGCAACTACCCGCACAATGGACCCCGCACGTTCTGCGATCGAGGACAGACGCGGCCTGGTACGTGGACAGCTAGGTACCGATTAGGGGACCGACTTCTTGGCTTATATCACCATGCATGACCGCGTGTATACTTTGTGTTGTTTGTGAGCGTACAAATGAAAATACAAAATCAGATTACCCATATTATTGTTTATACGTGTGCCCGACCTCCACGTGGGAAGGGCGGAGAGCTTTCAATGCGTTGTTCTACATAAAAACCTCGGTGGCATCGAAATATTTAACTGTCATGTTCAGCCCGGTATTCTAGAAGGCTCGAACCAAACACGCAGGCGCATCCCACGCCTTACACCTAAGAGTACGGCAGTGATGTTTTTCTGTGCCTTAATTCCAGCCGCACGGTTGTGCCTGCGGCATCGCAACCCGCCGCAATCGATCAAATACCTTCAAAAATCCTAACCATATAGCACAGTTATATGATATATGATATAATGATATATGATATATATATTGATATAATGATATAATGGTATGATAGCATAATATCTAATGATAATATGATGACACTAGGCCAGTTGAATTCAGACCTACATGCCTGCAGCAGACTCGCCCGCCCGTCCCCGTCATGGCCATCTCAGCGCGCCGCTTCAAAGCTCGGGCTTGTTCATACCGTCGGGCTTAGTTGTGTCGCAGCAGACTCCCCCGCCGTCCGAGCCATGGCCACCCCAGTGCGCCGCTTCAAAGCTCGGGCTTGTTCATGCCCTCGGGCTTAGTTGTGTCGCAGCAGACCTCCCCCGCCGTCCGAGCCATGGCCACCCCAGTGCGCCGCTTCAAAGCTCGGGCTTGTTCATGCCCTCGGGCTTAGCTGTGTCGGATGCAGACGTGGCAAGCACGCGGCTTGCTGGTCGGGAGGGAGGAAATGAGGGAGGAGAAGGAGAGAGGGAGGGAGGGGTCGTACTGGCAGAGGCGATGCCGAGATACCGCTAGTGCCACCCCGCCGCGGAGCGGCGGCATCACATTTATGTCGATATTGCAGATGTCCGATAGGTTCGGAAATTGAGGGGCGCATCAAACTGACGCTCTCACTGATGCGCTTCTGATGCGTGTTTACCTACTGCCCAAGTTGCCGTACAACGCACACTAGAGGACAAAATGTGTTCAACCCTTGTCATGTCCAATTTCAGCTGCGTGCCCTTGTGCAACAGAAAACACTGTTTAGCATTGCACACAACTGCCACAACCGGCGGCGATCATAGCGAAAGGTCCCAAAGGATTACGGCATGGCTCACGTGCGTGACACGGGATAACACGAACCTAATCCATTTCCTTTCTGCCCCATCTCGAGCCACCTTCCGTGGACGGCGGCTGGTTCCACAACATATTTATATTATGTTATATTGGATGGTATACATGAATTATATCAGCTGGTCAAAAATCTGTCTTCTTATTCCGAGAGGCTCGCCAGTTAAGGAGCTACGCAAACTGGACGTCGCGCCACTCACAGAGCTGTTTGAATGCGGAAAGTGAGATAGCCGTGCCAACAGGCGGTGGTACAGCGACAGGTCAGGAGGTGGCGAATCCTCACATCCAGGGGCTTCATCTGTTTTCTCCCGTTATCTCGCCCACGCTGCACACGAAGTGGCAGAATACGGCGCACGACTTAAGCTCATTGACACCATGACCCTGAGCTCACGCTTTGCGTATAGTGCAGTAATCACCAAACGATCGACGAAGCGGTCGAAACGCCGTGTCGGGTCGACACGGGCGTCAGTTTTCATTTAACTTCGCTGGGCGCCTCAGACCCAGCTGTCCTACAGAACTGCACCTCTTGTCTTCTGCCCTCGCCAGCCACATGGACATGACGACACGTCGGTGAGGCGATCACGCCGAAACACGGACCCGATCGAGCAGGCCGCCGCGTCGGGCGGCAGTCTGCTGACAGCGCCATTGCGGCCGGCCGCGGCGCGGTCCAGCTCGCTGGCTCAATCATCCGACCGGCCGACCCGCGCCTGCTGAGTCGATCATCGACACGGCGGGCCAAGGCCGAGGTCGGGCCGCGACACTGAGCCGCCGGCCAGCCATCACCGCCCGTGGCCGGCCATTAGCTCCCGACGGCAGTCAACGGCTCACACGGCCGGATCAGCCCAGACGGTACGAGCCCAGAAGGTCAGATCCCAGCCGGCTCACACGGCCCGATCAGCCCAGACGGCACGAGTCCAGACGGCCAGGTCCCAGCCGGCTAACACGGCCGGATCAGTCCAGACTGCATGAGTCCAGACGGCCAGGTCCCGACCGGCTCACACGGCCCAATCAGCCCAGACGGCACGAGTCCAGACGGCCAGGTCCCAGCCGGCTCACACGGCCGGATCAGCCCAGACGGCACGAGTCCAGACGGCCAGGTCCCAGCCGGCTCACACGGCCCGATCAGCCCAGACGGCACGAGTCCAGACGGCCAGGTCCCAGCCGGCTCACACGGCCCAATCAGTCCAGCGGTACGAGCCCAGGTCAGGTACCAGCCGGCTCACACGGCCCAATCAGCCCAGACGGCATGAGTCCGGACGGCCAGGTCCCAGCCGGCTCACAGGGCCCGATCAGCCCAGACGGTACGAGCCCAGAAGGTCAGGTCCCAGCCGGCTCACACGGCCGGATCAGCCCAGACGGTACGAGCCCAGAAGGTCAGGTCCCAGCCGGCTCACACGGCCGGATCAGCCCAGACGGTACGAGCCCAGAAGGTCAGGTCCCAGCCGGCTCACACGGCCCGATCAGCCCAGACGGCACGAGCCCAGAAGGTCAGGTCCCAGCCGGCTCACACGGCCCGATCAGCCCAGACGGTACGAGCCCAGAAGGTCAGGTCCCAGCCGGCTCACACGGCCGGATCAGCCCAGACGGTACGAGCCCAGAAGGTCAGGTCCCAGCCGGCTCACACGGCCGGATCAGCCCAGACGGTACGAGTCCAGACGGCCAGGTCCCGACCGGCTCACATGGCCGGATCAGCCCAGACGGCACGAGTCCAGACGGCCAGGTCCCGACCGGCTCACACGGCCGGATCAGCCCAGACGGTACGAGCCCAGAAGGTCAGGTCCCAGCCGGCTCACACGGCCGGATCAGCCCAGACGGTACGAGCCCAGGTCAGGTACCAGCCGGCTCACACGGCCCGATCAGCCCAGACGGCACGAGTCCAGAAGGTCAGGTCCCAGCCGGCTCACACGGCCCGATCAGCCCAGACGGTACGAGTCCAGAAGGTCAGGTCCCGGCCGGCTCACACGGCCGGATCAGCCCAGACGGTACGAGCCCAGAAGGTCAGGTCCCGCCGGCTCACACGGCCGGATCAGCCCAGACGGTACGAGCCCAGAAGGTCAGGTCCCAGCCGGCTCACACGGCCGATCAGCCCAGACGGTACGAGCCCAGAGGTCAGGTCCCGCCGGCTCACACGGCCCGATCAGCCCAGACGGCACGAGTCCAGAAGGTCAGGTCCCAGCCGGCTCACACGGCCCGATCAGCCCAGACGGTACGAGTCCAGAAGGTCAGGTCCCGGCCGGCTCACACGGCCGGATCAGCCCAGACGGCACGAGCCCAGAAGGTCAGGTCCCGGCCGGCTCACACGGCCCGATCAGCCCAGACGGTACGAGCCCAGAAGGTCAGGTCCCAGCCGGCTCACACGGCCCGATCAGCCCAGATGGTACGAGCCCAGGTCAGGTACCAGCCGGCTCACACGGCCCGATCAGCCCAGACGGTACGAGCCCAGAAGGTCAGGTCCCAGCCGGCTCACACGGCCGGATCAGCCCAGACGGTACGAGCCCAGAAGGTCAGGTCCCAGCCGGCTCACACGGCCCGATCAGCCCAGACGGTACGAGCCCAGAAGGTCAGGTCCCAGCCGGCTCACACGGCCCGATCAGCCCAGACGGTACGAGCCCAGAAGGTCAGGTCCCAGCCGGCTCACACGGCCCGATCAGCCCAGACGGTACGAGCCCAGAAGGTCAGGTCCCAGCCGGCTCACACGGCCGGATCAGCCCAGACGGTACGAGTCCAGAAGGTCAGGTCCCAGCCGGCTCACACGGCCGGATCAGCCCAGACGGTACGAGT